GCATGAATGAATTAACCTTATATTCCAAAATTTCCAAGAATTTGAAAGGAAAAAAAAATTATAATGAGACGAAAAAGAAAAAGAAAAGTTCAAGTTTATCTAATTAACATGAGGAGATGAAGAAGGCTTTGTTGACCTTATGAACACCACGAGAGCTGTCTGTGACAAGGACATGCAGACTTGAATAAGCTTCCATAGATTATGACCTACCACAATCACAGATCAAGGACACAGTTGGCTTCTCATTCTTCTTCGTCCTTTTACATCTCTGACCATTTAAAAAATAATAATAATCTAACTGTAAGTAACAACATTAATTATTTTTCAAGGTATAATTATAGTTTAATTTATATATGATTCCCTTACCCGACGAAGATATTATTTTAATCTTCTACTCAAATGAATTTTGAAGCTGCAAAAAAAACTAAACATATTTGGGCGGCTTTAATGCGAAGCAATTGTAGTTGAGAAATGACAAAAATGAGAGTACCTTCCTTGAGTGACCATTCCATATATATGAACCCAAATGTGCCAATAGCGTATGCGCCTACCAACTAACAAACTCTTAGTCTAATGATTTTTTTCCCAGCATCATTGTTCCAATCTTATGCTTGGCTCCTTCACGCATGAGATTGAGGAGGGTGTAAGTAAGGGTGGGCATGGGTAGGTTAGGTTGGTTTTGATCCCAACCAGTAACTCAGCCTGATATATAGTGGTTTCTAATTTCTTGGAACCAAGACTAGCTTATTATTAGGTCAACTTAACCCTTTTGTGACCAGGTTGGGTGGTTCGATCGGGTTAACTCAAAATTAAGCCCACTTTTAATTTTTGTTTCAACTCATAACCCAACCCGTACAAAGAGGTTTATGATTTTTTGAACCCATGCCCCGCTCATTATTAGGTCAACTCAACCCTATAATGATTGGGTTGAGCGGTTTGGTCGAATTGACTCAAAATTGTGCCCACACCTAGGTGTAAGAATATCAATGATGCTGATGCTGCCAAGTGTCAGCAGATTAAAGAGTGAACTGTTAGAATGTTGTTAGAAAATTGTTAGTGTTGTTAACATGTGGTTAGAGTTGTTGGAGAGGTTAGTAAGCTAGGTAAGATTGTAGTTAGAGCTTAACAAAATGCAACAATCATTTCTCACTCTCTGAAACTCTCTCTTTGCTTCTTCCTCTATACTCTTCTTTCTTATATTCTCCAATTCTTTGCTTCATCTTAACATGATCTGCCAAAAGAAGAGTAGATCAACATAGGTCCACCAAAAGCAGGAGAATACCGAAGATCACTAAATAATATATATATATATATATGTGGATTTCATTTTTCCACGCCCATTTTTTCTACTTACGCTCCCTTTTGCTTTTTAATACTTTTTAATCAATTTTGTTCTTTTTTGTTCTTTCTCTTTCCTACTTTACCTTTACCCTACATTAAGGTTTTGGTAATTGAAATTAAGAAAAAATAAATAAATAAATAAAAATAAACAAACAAACAAACCAAAAAATAAAAACAAAAAAACCCCCAAATTGGATTCATCCAAGTTGGGATCAAGATGTGCCCCCAATTGATTTATTTACGAGAGCCTATGGAACTTCTTCCTTCCCCCACAACGACGACACAATCAGTTCGGCAAGATAGAAACCAAACAACACCTCTTGAACTCAACTTCCATTGTAAATCTCAGGGATTATTTGTGATCAAAAGTCGAAGAAATAATATGAAAGTGAAGTAAAAAAGAAATTAATGTAGGGTAAGGGTAGAATAGGAAAGGGAAAGAATGAAAAAGAACATAATTGATTAAAAAGTATTAAAAAGTAAAAGGGTGTGTAAGTGGAGAAAAGGAAAGTGGGAAAATCATCTCCCTATATATATATATATATATTGCAAGATTCATAGATCATCCTTACAAAAAATTAGACAAATCTAAAACCGTTCAACATCCAATTGTGTTTTACAAAATCAATGAACATAATGCTTCAATAAAGTACTAAAATTTCAATAACTCAATTTAGTGGTCAAATGATATTGGATTCAAGTGATTTTTTGTAAAGATGATTTTTGAATGAGTATCTACAAAATAGACGATTTGGATTAGTGAAATACAATCTGGAGTGGGGTCTACAAGGGGTGTCCCTCAAATAAGCTTATTATATATTTGTTTAAAATAAAAGAGGAAAAAATGGGATCTTTGTCTAAAGAAATGCATTGAGAGAGGGTAAATGCAGAGTTGGTGTGTGTATGTGACATGCACATTGGACCCCTATGGAAGAAAATAAATTTTATACACAAAAAGGGGCATTGATCCCAAAAGCTGAGGACACACACTTACCAAATAGAAGGTGGGCAGAAGATAGAAAATAACATCAATACACATGGCCTGAAAAGTGACTACACATCAATATATGGAGAAACAAATCAAAGAAATTTGTGGTTACACCCACATTAGAAGACATGAGTAAGAATTTAGAAAACCATACGGGTTCAAGACACATGGCCTGAAAAGTGACTACACATACTAAGCATTTGCAAAGCAATTTGAGCTACCTATTAATTATCGTTATTGTAAACTCCGCAAGCTTCGTCCTTGTGAATTAAATCTCTTCCTATTTTAATTTCCTTTCTTTTCCTTTTCTTTTGGCTTGGGTTTGGTGATGATTTTGTTTGTATGCATGACACATGAGTCGTTTAAAGAAGAGTAGAAAAAGTCCTTTTGTTCTTGAACAGATTTGTTGTTTTTTTCTTTCTATTTTCTACGGAAATTTTCAAGGAGCCTCATGGTACGAGTGGTACCATAATTTACAGGTTAATGGGACAAAAACATCCCCTTCACTCTTGGAAGCAACTTTTATCGAAAGGTCCTTACGATGAAACTCTTGAACAAAAATATAGTAGATTGTGTGAAAAAAAATGTGGTAGGTTGTATCTTGTCAAATATGTTAGTGGTATTTCTCTTGATATCTCTCATATCTTAGAATTTAAAAAATAATGATCGTGATAACATATATAGATATATATGACTAAAAATAATTATTATATTAGTGTGCGTACAATCACGTGTATGTATGGTGCCGTTTCAATAGTCTAATAATACAACATTGCCCGGGTATGTTTTATTTGAGGATTGTAACAAGTAGTTTTTACGGGTATGTTCCTAGGGGGACGGGGGGTACTCTATCAGTGGTTAGGTTCCTACTCCTGCTTGTAGTTGAGCGGGTAAGGCTACTCAATTAGACCGACGACCGAGCCCATATGTGTAGAGAAGCTCGCCTAATCCCCAACGACATTGCCCGGTTTTTGTACTAGTTACGCTTCCCTTTAATAAAATCCTATCACTATTCTCTCAAAAAAAAAAAATACAACATATCAAATTTTTCACAACAAGAGAACATTACCCTGTAAATATAAGTACAATTAAATATATGTATGTGGAGACAAGACAATGTAGTAGTTCCATGAGTATATATGGTTTGGGAGTAAATTGTAGTAAAGTCATCTAGTTATTACTCGATTTTAGTCCTTGGATTTGTTTTTCTTTGAATTTGTGGTACTCAAAACAGACATGAAATTAAATGAAACACACGACAAAGACTGAAAGTAAGAAACTTAAAAAAGATTCAAGAAACAAAGGATTCGAAAAACAATTTACTGCAATTTACTCATATAGTTTGAGATCTTAGTTGCTACTCTCTCGATAATGCAATGTCTTTTCCTCTATTTTCTCTCTGCCCAAACAAGTGTATGGGTAACGGTCATATTATGTGTTATGTTGTCTATGATATCAATTTAACTTAGCCCCACGTGATACTAATATGGTCACCATCTAATGCACATCCCACGTGATAATGTCCAAGTTAATTACTTATTGTTGAAGTACCAAGTTAGTTACATGAATTTCTTTTTTAGTAAGCAATAGTCTAAACTACAAGAGAAAGAGGATTTCTCACACACGTATTACCAAAGTGCTATATATGAGGATTCACTAGTAAAAAAAGTGGCAACAGTCACCATTATTTGGTGACATTTGTGGCCGTGATAAAATGCATTAGTCACCTTTTTTGACTTTTTTAGTGACTAAAAAGGTTTTTAGTTACCTTTTTTGCTTTTCTTAGTGACTAAAGCCTTTAGTAACCCCCACAACAGTCACCAAATGTCACCAAATGTCACCAAATGATGGTAACTGTTGTCACTTTTTTTTTTTTTTTTTTGGTAGTGATTCGAACTTGAGACCACTTGTCTACAAGTCAAAGTCCTTTGCCACTTGGTTATAACCCGTTGATAATTAATTGCATAAATTTTAGATCACGGTCATGAGATTTTGAGGTCCTAATCTAGACTTTAAAACTAGTGCAAAGAATGATTAATATAAAAAGAAATATATCACAGAGAATTAATATTGAGGTAAGGAAATGAAATGTGACTTAGTTTCAAGTTTTCATCATCAATAGAGGGAGAACGGTGCAAAAATGAAGGGTGAGCATTTAAGATGATTGCAATTGCAAGAAAGCTGCAGATGGCATAGACCACAAGGCACCAACAAACAATCTCAAACCCGCTTCCCATGTGAAATTCGTGGTGGCTTGATAAAATAAACATTTGGGAGTGTGTAGCAATTATAAGCATATATTTTGAATGGCCCACCAAAGCCTCAAATTATATTTCAAATGGTATGCGCCTTGAATAGTCCAAACTTCAAAAACCCAATTAAAAATATTGAGCACATGAAAATGCCCTTAGCAATCCCAATTAAGTTGTTGTTTAATAAGACATGAAGGAGAGGCCAAGATACAAAGGAACTGCAAAGATGATGCCAAACCATACATCACTCAAACATCAACATGGGGCAGCAAAAGATAACCAATATTATACATTTTATAAAATATTTGGATACTTCTCCGTAACGAGTCATCTTTTTAACAAATTACAGTTTCACGCTTTAGAAAATTTATTTAATCACATTTGAATTTGAGTGAAAAAATAACTGATCTTAACCACTTGAACTGCAAACCCTTTTCATATATACTTTAGTCGAGTTATATAAATACTGTGAGTTGCAAATAAAAATGAATGGCTCCTTACTTTGTACCCCTTTTTATGCTTTGGTCCATTGCTTTAATTATATATGATATGTACCTTTTTGTTGTATGTGTAAGAACTAAGAGCCATTAGAGAAGCAGTGAAGCACACCCCATACCCTCTATTTTAAGCTCTGCCTACCACACCATTCTTCCAATTCTACTTCTTCTTCTTCAGTGCTCTCCTACCTACACCCCAAAAAACCCACTCCACCATGGAAGAAGAACAATTCAACTCTATAGATTCTGAGGCTCAAACCACATCTTCTTCCTACTCAAATTCAACCACATCTTCTTCTGCAGAATCTGAAGCCCAAAAAGTCAGCAAGAGATCAAATCAACAAGTACTTGATCATGATCAAAAGGGTACGAACGAGGATGATGATGACGATGACGATGAGGATCAAATCAGTCAAAAGAAAGCAAAGATCAATGATAGTAATGGGAGGCAGCATCATGATCCAGTGTACAGAGGAGTGAGAATGCGTCAATGGGGGAAATGGGTGTCAGAAATCCGAGAGCCAAGAAAGAAGTCAAGAATTTGGCTTGGAACTTTTCCCACCCCTGAAATGGCTGCTCGAGCGCACGATGTGGCTGCCCTAACAATCAAAGGCCGCTCTGCTGTCCTCAACTTTCCTGAGCTGGCTCAGGAGCTTCCCCGTCCGGCTTCTGCGTCGGCAAAGGACATCCAGGCTGCTGCTGCCAAAGCAGCTGCTCTTAACTACCCAATAAGCTGTAGCAGCAGTAGCAGCAGCAGCCGTGAAGCCGACGCGGAAACTGAAGCAGAGCTGAGCCAGCACAGGCAAGCTGTCCATGATACACAAGACTCATCAACTTCACCATCAACCAATAACGACGACACGTTTTTCGACCTTCCTGATCTGCTGTTAGATTTTGGGCACCACAGGGATCATGGGTTTTGCTTCTCTGTGCCATGGCTTGAAGAGCCTAATAATTTCCTGTGGATGGAAAATTGAAAGCCAATAGGACAACAAGACAAGAGCATTGAATGAAGAATTGAAGAGAGTTGAAAAAAGCAGCTTGGCAGACAGCTTTAGTTTAAAGTTGATATTTGTTGCTCGCTTTTTGGGTGCTGGTCCAAATTGAGAGGACCACCAGAGTTTGCTCAAATTGGGAAGCTTCAATTCTTGAATCTCTACAGGTTTGGTTTTGGTATATGTTGCCAAAACTTCAGCTTGATTATTTATTTTACTACTGTAATGTACCCTTTCATGTAAATGTATATGAGGTAAATAAAAAAGAGTTTCCATATCTAGGAGAGTATGGGCTTTTTCCTAAAAATAATCCATGTCCTTTTTCTTGTTTAATTTATTCATGCATTTGACTCTGAATTTTCCCATTCTGGTAAATTTGGATTCTCTCCATCATTATAAAATTTCAAGGAAATATATAGTATAGAATATATCTAAGCAGCCTCTCCCACCTACCAATTTATAATTTTGGAATATTATATATACAACCTAAAGCTGATGGATGTTTCATATAGAAAAACATCTAAGGCTAGAATATTTGTTTTTATTTTGAATAACTAATACTATGTTGATGAATTTTTATTTTTATTTTTTATGAAGAGTAAGAAACTGTCATTCCAAACAACAAGAGTACAAATAGCAAACAACAGTATGCAAAAATACCATTCATATTACTGGTCAAATTGATGGTGCTTTCTTCTTAAAGCACAATTGAAGACCAAACTTATAAATTCACGTAGTTAATATGTGAGTTCATCATTGCCAAAGCAGATAGACCACATGTGACATGTTGCACAATCAGCATAATTGGATTATCTCCATCATTATTAAATTTCAAGGAAATATATAGCATAGCATATAATGGTCAAAGGGAGAAAAAAATCAGTCTTTCATTGATTTTGGTAAAGAAATCTCCAATTGTACATTCATACGTATTTCGTTTGAGTAAAATTTATCAGGTAAACTAATTAGGTATTTTGTGCTTATAGGGATTCGAACTTAGGATGTCAAAGTTCGCTCTAGTCAAACAATTCACCGACCACTAAATTAATTCCGGAATTAACTCTGTAAGACTGCGTGTGAGATTTTACTTCACATTTGTTTGAATTTTGTAAAAAAATTTTTTTTTTTTTTTTGGAGAGGAAGTAGTAAATTTTCATTAAAATTGTGAAAGGTTACAAACTCGAGGGAACAAATGTGGCCTCATTAAAACCTTGCTCAAGTAAACAAACGGGACAAAACCTAAGACGAAGAAAAAAAAAAAGCTGCATGCTCCATAAAGACTAGACTACAAACAAAAACTCATGACAACTCCAGAATATCAGCGTTAGCTTAAAGAAACATATTTAGCCATAAAAAACAATCTTCAAGCCAAACGTCTATGAAAACACTACCTAAAGCAAACTTAACAAGTCTATCAGCGACAGTGTTACACAATATTTTGTAAATGTTTTTTAGTAATTCGTGCTTCATTCTCGTCAATTATGTGTGCACCATAACAAATAAATGACACATCATTTCATAGTGTAAAATAATTCTATAAATATGTACTCTTTCTTCTGTAAAAGAGAATGAGTGGTTGACATAAAATTTAAAAAGTAAACGTGCCATAGCAGAGCAGTTTTAATAATATCGAATTGAAAATGACTGGTGTCATGGTTATGGCAGCATCCTATGTTGCAATTTAACTTCTTCTTCTTTTTTCTTTTCTTTGTTTCCCTTTTTTTTTTTTTTTTTTTTTTTTTGTTTTCCTTTTTTTTTTTTTTTTTTTTTTATGCGTTTGTTTGTTGGGATATGTTGCAATTAATTACTTGCAAATTGGGTCAGGTGAAGACAAAATATGTTGTGTTATAAATTCAACAATTTCTAAATGTTTATAAATAAAAAATCCAAATTTGAAATATGCTATCATTTAAGATAATATTATCAATTAAATTACAAAATGTGCCATTAACTTTCATTAACTTCTTCTTGTGTAATTGTATATTGATTCTTTTCCTAATAAACAGTCTATGATGCCCTTTTTTTTTGTCGTGATTTTGTATTGATTCCATAAAAAGTAATGAAACAATTTCTGTACGGAATTTTTTTTTTTTTTTTTTTTGGTTGTAAATGGCAAGTATATTATTTTTACAATGTGCCTACAATGATGCTCACTTCTAATGGCATATATCTACCTATTAGTTTTTTTTAATTGATAATAGGTAAATTATGGCATGTACCTACACCTTTACCTGTATTTAAAAATAAAAAAAAATAGGTACGTTATCTTTTTATTGATAATGTCAATTTACCCTTATTGATAATAATTTATCTATTATCTTTTATTGATAATAGGTAAATTATTTTCAAAATGTCTTAAAAGTTAGGTATATTATTTAAATAATAAATAAATTATTTTTCATAAAAGAAACAATAAAAAGTTACTAGTTATTTTTTATAGAACAAGTAATAGATACATTATTTTTTCAATATAATTAGTATGTGTAGTATTATTCATAAACAATTATAAAGTAGATTATTAATCATGTATAATTCATAATAAAAAATAACATAAACATTTTTATTAAACAAACCGATTACCTAAATATGAATTTATTGTTAAATTTAAAAAAAAAAGTTTCCAAATTAATTCCTACATCCATTACAATCAATTGGAGATCTTTCCAAATTGAACCTCTATCATTATATACAATGCAATTAAAAAACTGTTTTAATTGATTCCTATATTAATATACAAAATACAATAATGACTTAGTTGGGGATATTTTTGGAATCTTAAAGGTACAATAAATCATATTTTATGCTTAATTAAGTAACTTGCTGAATTGGATTCTAGTCTTTTACTTATAAAAATTAGGTTTTACTTATAGATTAATAAGGTGATGGGTTTCAGATAAAAAAACATTTATTTGAAGGGGAAAAGCCAAATTTACTATTCTTATAATTCATATGACATAATTACTCAAAGTTTAAGGTTTTCATGCAACTAATGGAGTGTAAGTTGGATCAGCTCAAGTTTTTTGTGTGCTTCTAAGTGATCTTAAGTTCAAGTTCATATGGTACTTGTGTGCGCACCACAAATAGAAGACAAAATTAGATTTGTTTTTTCTATCGAAAATTAGAAACCATGTGTTTACTTATATTGAAAACATCCCATAATTTGTTTGGCCCTGGGGTGCAGTATTATACTAAGGTGCCTGCTTTTCTTGTGACTTGTTTGGCTGAGGATGCTATTGGGGTGTCCAGGACCTTGTTGTTTGTGTTTAATCTGTTTGTTCTGGGCTCTTAGCCCCCTTTGTTATCCAAAAAAAAAAAAAAAAATTCCCATAATTTTCCGTTAGTTTCGAATCTTTCGAATCTTTCGAATTTTTTTTTTTCTTTCTGATTTTCTGTACTTGATATTATAATAGAGAGAGAAACAGGCCCACCTAAATGAAAAAGCCATCAAAAGAAAATAAATTAGTTGGTCCACATAAAGTTTCAAAAGAGAAGAATCCAAATTAATGGAAGAAAAATTTACCAACAAAACAAAACGAAGGAGGAAGAAGAAACCCTCTTTTCCTTGTCTGTGTTTTGATGAGTTGGAAACAATTGCATGGAATGCTTTTTATCTTAATGATTGAGATACTTGTATGCTTTTCATGCACATCTCCCTCTTTCTTATTCACTTTCTTCTTCTCAATCAGAGAGAGATTCCTTGATAAATAGTGTAAAACCAATAACAAGCAAAAGGTCAATTCCCAGTTGATAAGGTTCATACATTGTGTGTAGTCCAATTAGTATTCGAGTCCCGCTATCAGCAGTTCTCATTAGTGCGCGATCTGTAATTTCCTATATAAATTTATACTGGTGATAACTGACAGTTGGGTGTCACACGTAAGTCCTTTCAGCTCGAAGTTTATGAGTATGCCCTGACACTGGTGGTGAGAGTAGTCAATCTTCCCCTAAATCTATTTTTAAAAAAAATTAAAAATTAAAAATCACTAGGGTCTGATCTAACTTTTACTTTGTTGTAGTTGTATAGTGCACTCACGCAATAATAACGAATATTGATCATTGTGTTCCTTATCCCACACAGTGTTGAAACGAACAGTGCCTTTTTGTCCTCGTGTCTTCCAACACTACATTAACTTAATAATTTGTATTGAAATGGAACCTTCATATCCAACAGAGGAAAAAAAAATTAGGGTTGACGTGCATGTCACGCTGTTTTAAATTTGACATCTCTCCAACATTGAGAAATTTGACATCTCTCCAATATTGAGAAGAGAAATATCAATTGATGAAGTAGGTATAATAGTACGATGGTAGTATACTAATTGACAACAACGACGTTTCTAGATTTAAGAAAAGTTATTTTCGATATGGTTTTCTTCACATCGTTTCAGCTTTTAGATTGGTTTATATTTTTACCCGTGTTTGTCATATTGTTGTTGAGGATGACTTCTTTACCATCAGTGTCCTTTGTTCTTTTTTCCTATCGATATCGGAACATTAAAACATATTAAATGGAACGTTCATAGAAATATATGTTTATGAGGTTACATCTTATATAAGCACTTGTGGAGAAGCATCTCATTGCTATTTCCTCACTTTTATTGGTACCAAAATTTTCCAATACTTTTGTGACTTTTGATTGGTTTGTATCTGATAATTGAAGAGTCCCATCACACATGCATCATGCATGTAGAATATTAGCTACTAAATCACCACTCTTTTACTACTTTGTGTTTGTGACAGAGACATAGTTGTAAAGTGAGCTTACTTAGGAAGGTACAATTAGCATAATTTGCATAAAAAGCCTATGGTGTTTTTGTCCACCTGTTTTTTTATAAAGGAATAATTATTTGAAATTGACAATTATATAACTTTAATTTGATGATTTTACCTATGCAATTAGGCTTCACTTTTGACTTCCACAAAATAAGAACAAAAGTAGGGAAAATACAATTTATAAAATAAATATATAAAAAATTCTTCCAAAATCTACATAGACAATT